TATAAACTTGGCAAACATAACAACAGTAAAAACATTTCGTGTGTGTTTGACGCTCACTGATATGTTCCAGCGTTGTTTTATATTTGGCGCTATTCTATCTTACACTTTGTTGATCTTTTTTACCTACGGGCTCATAGAACATTCTATTGCGAACACATTGGCACAAAAATGAATGACGTACATAGAATAATAATGTCAGGACAGTGAAATAAGTATAAACTTTCAAAGCGCCGTATCGCACATGTGTCGTCCCGTCACTGATACCGGGTAACAGTTCCACCACTTCCCACACTCTTGCGGGTGAGCCGCGACCATTATTCTACGTTTGTATTCATATCACCGTGTTGGGAATTTCATTGCGAGTCCATTGATACCAAAATTAATGTTGTAGGACAAGTGTGGAAGTAATAACAATCCCAAGAGTAAAAACGTTTTGTTGCTGTTGGGCGCTCACGGCCAGTCATCTACGTAGTTATTTATTTGGTGCTGGTATCCCTATATTTTTCGTGACCTTTTTTACTGATGTTCTTCTAGAGAATTTTATTGTGAACACGTTGGTACCAAAATGAAATACGTAGCTCGAGAACTAAGGTCAGGAGAGTAAAAAGAGTATACACATTTTTGTTTTTACGCTTAAGCGACAAAAACGCCGCGCGCACATACCGCTTTTTTGTGACCTTCGCCGGGCGCGCGAAAGTGTTAATTAATAACCCTGCGGACGACCTGAGAAACCTGTACCCGCGAACAGGGAAGAAGGGAAACGGGATCAACCCAAAGGACGTCCCCGGCCACCGATGCCATGGCGCGCAAATAACGGCGGAGGGTCGCTACCGGACACAACACAAGATGCACCCCCTGGCCTGACCAACCGAGCATCAACAATCAAAGAACCCCTCCAGAAAGCAGCAGTCTCATTCTTCGCCAGAAAAGAAGGAGACGGCTGTAATCGAACAAAACTATCACCACAAGCAAAAAAGCAGAAACCCCGGTGCCAAAGAAGAGCATGAAGCTCCACAACCCGACCCCCTAGAGGCCAATGCCAACAGAAAAAAAAAAAAAGCCAGAAGAAGCCACAACAAACCGAGGTGAAGAGAGATAGGAGAGCACTCTGTCCAATGACCAGGACGGCTCAGGCGGTGCATGAGCAGGCTGGAGGTGAAACAGCGCACGAGACAGCTTGCGAAACGGTGCAGAAGTAACATCTATACCGAAAGTAAGCTGAAGCGGCTCTGCCAGCGCCGCACAATATGAGGCGACAGTATTCGGCATAAGATAAAGGTCCTGGAACAGCCACAAAAGGACAACACCAACTGAACCAAAAGCGAAGCACAATGACGAAGAGTCAAAAAGAAATGGAAGGACCGCCAGGAAACTTCATACTGCGGCCGAGACAGAAGCCCGCAGGTGGGACACCATCAATGAAGCCACCTGATCAACATACAGATGGTGATAAGCTCGAGTCAAAAATACCAAATGTGAAGACTCGAGGAGAAAAGCGAACCAGTCTCTTAACGAACCAGGCCGATCTTCTGACAGTGGCAGAGCTGTGGAAAACCTCCGGGTTCAGACACTGGACAAGCAGCGCCTGAAACCATGGCTGTGCCAGCCACCACGGGGCCAAGAGGACTATCCACTCCTGATAAGTCTCCAAGCGAGCTAGGACCTGGAGCAACAGCTGAACCAGGGAAAAGAGGCACAGGAACCCCCCCTCCTCAACCAGTCCTTCCGGAAGGCGTCGATCCCGATGGCCTCGGGGTCGGGGGAAGGGCGCCACTTACAGTACAACCTCAATTACACGTACCCCGATTCAACGAATCTCCAGCTAGTTCGCACACTTTTCAGGAGGGATTTACTCACCCGGTTCGACAAACAATAGTTCGCTGAAGCGGGGGATATTCGGATTTGCTTACGATGTCGAGACAGACTTCACAGAATGGTGGAAAACTTTCCCATTCTATCACAGATTACAATTAATAATTCCCTTGTATGACAAGTTTGATCACACAAGTGGACCACACAAGTGAACTGCATAAGTATTTCAAAAGTGGTCCACAAGCTTAAGATGTTGAGACAGAGTTCACAGAGTGGTGGAAAATTCATTTTCCGTGAATCTATTTCCCATTTTCAACCTCTGTATATCATCTTTTACCTGCAATTTGTTGTTTATGAATTTATAAAATAGACCTGGTTCTGTTTTACATTTGTCTGCAATCCCTTTTTCAAAATTTCTTTCTGCCTCTCTCCTCACTGCCGTGTAGTTGTTTCTCGCATCTTTGTATCGCTGGTATGTTTGGGGGTTTGGCCTCTTCCTGTATTGATTCCATTTTTGTGTCTTTTGGTCTCTGGCCCTCTCGCACTTTCTGTTGAACCAATCCTGTTTCCTAGTACTGCTTCTCTGTTTTGGTATAAATTTTTTTGTGCCTTTATCATATATTTCACAAAACTTGACATACATCTCATTCACTTCCTTGCCTAGCAACAAGTCTGTCCAATTATACCCACTAAAAAAAATTCTAAGGTTACCATAATGTCCTCTCCTAAAGTCAGGTTTTTCAATTGCATCAACCTTCATATTTTCTTCCAGATTATAACGCATTGCATACTTTATTCCCAAAAAGACATGGTCACTTTTACCCAAGGGAGGAAGGTACTGAATGTCAAATATTTCTTCCTCCTTCCTGGTAAATATCAAATCTAGCATGGAGGGAACGTCCCCTTCCCTCATCCTCGTAGCTTGTTTGACATGTTGATACAAGAATGTTTCCAGGATGAGGTCTAGAAATTTACAGGTCCAGAAATCTTCTGTTTTAGCTTCATATGCTTCCCAGTCTATGGCTTTCAAGTTGAAGTCGCCGACTATCAATAGTCGTGAACTATCGGTATCCGCTCTCGCTATGATCTCTCTCATTATTGGTATAAGACCTTCTCTTTTACTATCTAGCTCCTCCTTTGACCATGTGCTGCTTAGCGGTGGACTGTATGCATTTATGATCATTAGTTTATCATCCTCATGGCAGATCTCTAGTGCTATTATGTCAACTTCTTGTGGATTGGCAGTCATTATTTCGTTCACCTTTAGGTGTTCTTTCACCAGCACAGCAACGCCACCGCCTTTCCTAATTTTTCTGTCCCGTCTCCAAATTGAGTAGCCCCTTGGGAACATGACTTCATTTAAAATAACATCAAGTTTTGTCTCCGTGAGTGCAACAATGTCTGGTGTCTGCAGCTGTATTACATCACTTAACTCCAGTATCTTCGATCTTACTCCATCTATGTTGGTGTATGCAATCTTCAGGAACTTGTTCCCCCTCTTCTTATTTTTCACTCCCCCTCTCTCTAATGATTTTGTTGGTTTGCCTTTATGTACCATTTTACTGGTCTGCCTACCCCTATCACTTTGTAGAAAAAAGAATTGATTTCTTCTTCATTCCTGATCTCATTTAAACGTTTTGCCTCGGTGAGGTTCAGTTTCAGCTTCTCTCTATCTTCTTTTGAAAGATCTCGTCTTAACAACCACATTTTCCCATCCTCATCACTTTGTAATTTTCTAGCATTCCTTAGTACTTCTTCCATCTGTTTGGCACCATTTAGGGTGATCCTCAAAGGTCGATCTTTCCCTTTTACGTACCTGCCTATTCTCCTGTAGTCGCACACATTCTCTATGGTTGTAAGACCTTCCACGAGGCCAACAATTTTATCTACTACTTTTGCTTCTTCTACAGCTCTTTCTGACCTAGATATTATCTCCTTTTCTTTACAGCCAAAAATTATCAGGGACTCACACCGATCAACTGTGTTTTGCACCAACTTCGGGTTAGATGCCAATTATTTTCTCACTTCCAGCCTAATGTTTGTTTTATCTTGGTTGCTGCAGTGTTTGACTTCCTTTACTTGCTTCTCCTTGGCCACTTGTGCATAGGTGAGTTGCATATCTTTCTTGCACTGTTCTATTCCCTGTGTAACTTCCTCCATCTGTGCTGACAAAAGCTGTTTCTCCTGTTGAAATTCCTTACCTAACCTATTGTAGTCATTTATGTTTAAATTTACTTTAACTTCTTCCAAAGCTATTTTTAAGAGTTTATTTTCTTCTTCCATGGCTTTGCAATTTGTTTCCAATTGAATCTTATCCTTGCGCAAGTCTTTCACTAAACCCTCAAGACATAAAACTTTGCTATTCAAATGGTCATTACTTTCTTTCAATTTACTAATTATTTCTACATGAGAGGTCACTATAGTATCTAATTTTACCACCTTGTTGTATAGACTGGTTATATCAATGCTTTCTTCACTGAATCCAACAAAATCAAGCTCTGTTTTGTATTTCCTCTTGCCGGCGGCCATCTTGAATGTTCTTCTCTGCACTGGAAACACTAGGGCAACTTTTTCTCATCCAATTTTTCACTTCCCTTGGCACATTCCTGTTATCTCACCTATTTTTTAAAAGCACTATACCTTTATGTACTCTGGGACACCACTCACTATCATCATCCTGTACTACAATACTTAGGATTGTTGAAATATGCTGGAGCTCCTCTTGTCTGCCTCTTGGGAAAGAACTTGGGATAGAACTCATCTATCTCAAACTCATACATGTGCATTTCTATAGGCCATTGCTACTCGTACCTCTCTGAGAGGGCCAGGTTCTGGCTCATGGTCCTCAGTAGGTCTAAGAACTCCATTCATACTGACTGATGCCAAAGTCTAATACTGTAGTTTCATATCGGCCTGGATAAGCTCTAGGGAACCGAAAAGGCTTCCCCCAGAAAACAAGATTAAAATTTCAACAACATATTCTGTATTTTTTGTATGTACAGTTTCTACAGTAAGATTATTTCCCGAATTCAAATGATAATGACATAGGAAGTACTATACTGGACAGTTGTATGACCACTTCTGCACAAATGACCTGTCCTAAAAAAAGGTTATGTAGTTTTCCAAATCTGCAGAATAGAAAAATCTTCATGAAATTGTTAGTTCTAAGTTCTAATGACAATTCCAACCTTAGGACGAGCTGACGCTGAAATGGTGTTAGCTCCTCATCTTTCAGCCCAGACATTCCATCATGTAGGCTGTAGGCCAAAGCTGTCACCTTTTGCACGATGATCATCATGGGACCTGGAATCATGTAAATATGGGCTGAAGTCATTAAAGAAGCATCTTGTGTATATAATAACTTTGTTTTCAATATTTTCCTATACAAAATCAATAACCATATCACAGTGTAAAGTGAATAAGATATGTAATCCCTACTCCAATGGTAGATGAAAGCACCTAACACAAACTATCTTAAAATGACACAGGCTTTAATGTCCCATAATATTGTATGTCACATTAACCCTCAAGATATGGCTATGGCTATCTTCAAAATTGTCATGTTCCCAGTGCTCCCCGTCCCCCCCTCCAAAAAAAACTAGCGTTGAATGTAATGAAATGTCATTTCCTGGGTGAGCACCTGAGGCTCCCTGAAAAACCTGCTGCAAGAGGCAGAATCGTGGAAAATTGCTCAGGTTTGGACACCGAGCAAGCAGTACCTGAAACCAAGGGTGGGCCAGCCACCATGGAGCCATGAGAAGCACCCTCCCCTGATAGGATTCCAAGCAAGCTAGGACCTGGAGCAGACCCCTGGCTAGCAGACAAGCTGACTGGCTGGGAGTCCACACAAACCATTCATCGAGGTAGGCCACCACGACATGAGTTAAGCAAGTGAAAACGCGAGGTGCCAGATTCAAGCTGAACGGAAGACAACAAAAGCGGTAAGCCTCTCGCCCCACCTTGAACCCCAGAGGAATCGGGACATATTAATAAGCATCCCAGAGGTCCAAGAAAATCATCAAAGTGTCTGGCTCGAGGATGAACTGGACCTCTTGGTCATCCAAAAAGTAGGGCAAGGAATCAACCAGTTTAGACAAGACAAATCCTGAATGTACTGGATATCTGCACAGTTCCGTTTCAGAACTGGAAACAGGCAGGAAACCCACTTGAGACAAAGTCGTTTCGACCACGCCCAATCAAAGCCACTTTGAGATGACCCAGCAAAGGGACAGGGAAGAAGCCTCCCCCCCCCCCAAGATCCAACCCCCTGACAGGGGAAAGGTTCGCCCAATGCCACCAAATGCCAGAAGAAACGACCTGAGAAGCTCACGAATCGCAGGACCAAGTGCGGGCAAAAAGAGCCAGTTTCCTGAGATCAACACACAAGGAATGAGTAAATTGAAGCACAAGCGGGGAACAAGTCTTGAAAGACTCCAGGTCATAGGTATCACTGCAGCATGACAGAGGCAGTATAGATGAGCGTCATACTGAGGCAGGGGCGACGAGCAACAGGGCGAGAGTGGACTCCGAAGAAGTATCCATGTTACCACCAAGCCTACAGGGGTTTTCTAGGGCCCATCGGGTAAATTAGCCCTACAGGAATCCCAGGAACTGGGGCAAGCTAAGCTGGTAGAATCCCTGTCTAATAGCAAGAAAACTGACTACAGAAGCAGCAGTTAACTCCCAGGGGCAACAGAGGACGACTACCAACACCTACAAGGCTAGTGTAATAAGAGGCAAGGCAGACCACCTCTGTCCACAAAAGGCAAACACACAATAAAAGGAAACTAAAAGCCATTGAAGAAACACAACAAGCAAACAGGCAACCATAGAGAAGCATCGGCCAATGCACTGCAGTAAGGCAGGCTGCGCCAGCCACAGTGCGCCCACACCCAGCCAATAATACTCACTCACCCGGGGCAAAACTGAAAGCCCAAGATCCCCAACATACCCCAAGGCCGAAGAAAACCTCAAGAGAGGAAGTCCTCTAGCGGGAAGTGATTCCTAAACGTCCCAGGGAAGATAACCCTGAAATGCAAGGGTAACACTTACGGAGCGCCTAGGGAAGATCACCATAGGCGCATGCTGCTCCACATAAAAAAAAAGTGTTAAATGTAATTAAACACCATTTTTCTGGATGAGCCCCGGAGGCTCCCTGGAGCTATCAGACTAATATGTGATACATTAGACTAGGGCAACAGTCAATGGAGTTCAGCCTACTGGGGACCACGAGCCAGAATCTGGCCCCCTCTGAGAGAGAGACAGGGAACAATGGCCCCTGGAAAACCCCTCTGTAGTTGGGGACTTTCCTAATCTGATATCGACCGGGGTTAGGCACCCAGAAAGGAAGGCATAACAATACAGTAACCCATCCTCCGAATTGACAGTATGTTTTAATACTAATGTAATAAGTGCATTTCCTGACTGCCATACATAGTACATAATTGCATTAATGGGGCTGATACATTTACCTCCCCATTTATTCTGATCGTTTTCTGTTAAGAATTTTAGGATGAAATTTTAAAGTTCAGTTCGCTATACACAAGTTTTAAATACTGTATCAGGAATTTCATTTTAAGTTTTATTAAACAATAGAGATTTTATACAAAATTTGAAAATATCCTGAGTTACTTTAAAATTTATTGAAATATTTTAGTTTTGTTTTATTTGTTTTATAAAACTGTAATATCAATATAGCTACAGGTTAAGTAGTAATTGTAATTAAGAAGCAATAAAATGCTTATCTTCAAAAACTAAGACGGTTAGGTTAGGTCATGGTTTTCTATTCAGTTTTTCAGGTAAACTCAAATCTTCACAATATATTTGACAGTACGGTTTAATACCAAGTGAAAATAAGTACAATTTCTGACTATCATACATAGTACATAACTGTACTTATGGGGCTGTTACATTTATCTCCCCATTTTTGGAGGACGGGCTGCAATAGACCCCACACAGTAAGAAAATGGTAAGCCCCGGACCCTCCCCGCCGGCTACCCAGCAACCCCAGTTCGGAGGCTAAGCATCAAAACAACACAAAAACCGCTAACCGGAGGAAGGGGGAGAGTGCCAGGGAGTCTCCGGGGCTCACTCAGAAAATGGCTTTTCATTACATTCAACGCTTGTTTTCTTTGAGGGGAGCCCCTTCGGCTCCTTGGAGCTACCTAACCAAAGATAAGGAAAAGAGGGACTTACCCGGGAGGCAGCTGCCACTTGCCACTCAACTCAAAGGCGAAACAACTGGCTAAAACCTGCGACCTGCAGGGACCCCAACTAAGACAAAATAACGAGTCGATGACCACCCTATATCGAAATAACCAACGAACTGGGGTTGCTTGGTAGCTAGTGCGGAGAGTCCGGGGCTCCCCCCTTCTCCCACCGGGGGTGGGTGAGCGGATGAGTGTCGCGACGGCGGTGCATGATGCTTGCTTGTTTAATCGTTTCCTTGGGATTTGGGGGAGTTCTGCCTCTGTTCGGTTTTCAGTTGTAATTTTCTTACCATGTGCGGTCTGTTTTGTTATGCCTACCTTTCTGAGTACCTAACCCTAATTGATGGCTAAAACCGGGGTAGATATCTGATGGTAGATAAGGAAACCCCCAACCACAGGGGGTTTTCCAGGGCCATTGCTCCCTGTGCCTCTGAGGGGGGGGGGGGCCATTGATCCCTTTGCCTCTCTAAGGGGGGGGGGCATTGCTCCCTGTGCCTCTCTGAGGGGGGGGCCATTGATCCCTTTGCCTCTCTAAGGGGGGGGCCATTGCTCCCTGTGCCTCTGAGGGGGGGGGCCATTGATCCCTTTGCCTCTCTAAGGGGGGGGCCATTGCTCCCTGTGCCTCTGAGGGGGGGGGCCATTGATCCCTTTGCCTCTCTAAGGGGGGGCCATTGCTCCCTGTGCCTCTGAGGGGGGGGCCATTGATCCCTTTGCCTCTCTAAGGGGGGCCATTGCTCCCTGTGCCTCTCTGAGGAGGGTCCAGGTTCTGGCTCATGGTCCCTGGTAGGCTGAGCTCCATTAACTATTGCCCTAGTCTAATATATCACACACTAGCCCAATAGCTTCTGGGAGCTGTAGGGGATCCCCACAGAGAACACACCTGGCCAACACCCACACACACTGCTGGCACAGCCACACACACTGCTGGCACAGCCACACACACTGCTGGCACAGCCACACACACTGCTGGCAAGCCACACACACTGCTGGCACAGCCACACACACTGCTGGCACAGCCACACACACTGCTGGCACAGCCACACACACTGCTGGCACAGCCACACACACTGCTGGCACAGCCACACAGGGCAAAATCCAGAAGAGGAACTTGAGACTAGAGGTGACCGAACTGGGGGGTGGGGAGGGGCGGAAGTGCTGGTCGCATGAAGGATGCTTATTTGGTCTCTTTCTAGTAAAGTTAATTTGATCTTTTGGGATGTAGATTGCACAGGTTAACTAGACAGTGATCTGTTTTGATTCACCTACCTTTCTGGCTCCTTCCCCAGTCAATGACAATTATGACATACTTTAAATGTAAAGTGCTCACAGGCCATTGCTCCCTGCGCCTCTCTGAGGGGACCAGATTCCGGCTCGTGGTTCCCAGTAGGCATAAGAACTCATCTGACCGACGACCCCAAACTAATATAGTACACATCAGTTTGGATAGCGTCAGGGAGCCGACGGGGCTCCCAACAGAAATGAAAATGTTCTGGTTTGATTAACTACAGCAGAAAGTTGGGTGGTGGGGGGTCATTGTATCTTTCAATGCCAAATGCAAGGGGTTGCTGTTACACAAGTTACACGGAAAGTAGACACAATTATTTAACACAGATAAAAGTTTCAATCACCGGAGATTAAATATGTAAGTGCTGAATCACTGTACTGGGCCAGATAAAACACTTGAAAAAAACAGCATATCATGTACCAAGTACTAGAATATACTCGTCAAGCAGTAAGATAATTACTGGATAACAATGGCTCTGACCCTAAGTGCTCATGACATGATAAGTTATCACAAGTTATGCATTTCCTTATCATTCAAGAAATGCAACAGATACAAAAGGGGGGAAAAGTGAGTGAGTGGGTGGGTGAGTGAGTGAGTGAGTGAGTGAGTGAGTGAGTGAGTGAGTGAGTGAGTGAGTGAGTGAGTGAGTGAGTGAGTGAGTGAGTGAGTGAGTGAGTGAGTGAGTGAGTGAGTGAGTGAGTGAGTGTAATTG